GTTTTCTGTCTGACATCAGGGGATAATTGATGACCACATGTCGTACTGAATGGTTCAGCTTCTGCCATTTGACTGGAAACATTCAGGAAAGCATGAAGTCGACCAAACCCGGGCCTCTGCTGCAGTTGTTTTATTAAAGTCAGCAGCAGCGCAAAGACGGATCTGATCACCGAATGGGACCAAATAAAACTGTGACTCTTTAAAAACGGCACAGTCCGGATCTGTGTGCGGTTCTACGCTGGTGCTTTACAGACAGCGATGGAGGAAGTATTCCAGCTCGCAAGAAGTCCAAGCAGAAAGTATGAATAGATGTTCTGCTAAAGCTAAAGGTGCTGCCTTCAAAACGTGACGCATCAGCAAAAGCAGACGTGCTCTCTGCAGTAGTGAGTGTTGCATACGGTGGTTCTGGTGATTCGTGTTACTGGACCGTGGCGTTACAGCTCACCTGACTGACGGCTACATCTGTAAGTCATCCTTAAAACGGTGTCTGTACCGTCGCTGCTTTGACATTTAGAGAACATTTAACAATAGTTAGCTTCAGATCAGCTTTGTTCTCTTCTGGTGTAAGAACATCGTTTCTGTCCGTAGACGTCATCAGTAACATTAGTGCCACCCAAAATCAGCTACACAGCACGTTACGTACAATTAACAAGACAAAAGTGTGACCAAAGCTATCAAAAGATAATGAAACTAACAATAAAATCAGTAGAACAAAGGGAGATTTTACAGTTCGTAAAGCCCCACAGCTGACCTGCTGTAGTGTTCGGACTCGACTGAACAGGACGTGTCCAGGTGAACGTCTTTAATTCTGAAACTGAGCTGAAGTGTGCTCCCTCCTGTTGGTCATGAATCCGTCTGCCGGACGTTAAACCAGCTGGAGGTTGTGTTTCAGACTGAATAGAATAAAGCACAGTGATGAGGCTTTATGTGGCTGTTTTGTGCAGAATACAGCTAAATGAGGAGCCCCACTCCTGCGTGATGGACTGACCCTGGTGTTCCTTCACTGAGCTTCGTGTTTCACTAAAGTCCTGCAGCTCTGAGGAACCAGAACCACATGGAGGAGGAGACAGAACGCAGAGACGTCTGCTGTCAGCAAAAAAAACAAGTTTCGTCTGGAAAAGCCCGTCTGATATGGAACGGCAGAAATGTGAAAGAAAAACAATCATTTGATTATTTATTTCACAACAATGTAGAAACAGGAATCAACACGTCCGGTGGTTTCCTCAGATTCTGCCAACGCCGGATCGCTTTCTGTGCACAGCAGCCATGAACTCAGTGACACAGGTTTGTCTGCTGTGCTTGTTTTTGGTCACCTTGATCCCTCTGTGGTCATTTTGTGTCTCATGTTTGGTTCTGAGCGTCTCGTTTGGGTCATTGTGTGTTTAATTTCTCTCATTTTGTGTCTACCTTTTGTTGTGTTCTCTGTCATTTTTGTGGTCCGCGGTCTAGTTTTGGTCTACACTATGGATGTACAGCTGCTAAAGGTGTAAAGGCCCGCTATCAGTCACACGTCATTCTGCAGCATGCCGCTCTGTCATGAACATGAACCAAATCTAAGCTTAAAATTACGATGTTCCATCACTTTGTTTGTTTGACTCAGATTCTGTGACAAGCCAGAACCTTCCTGCTCCTGGTTCTGATTCTCCACGACCGGCTCAGCTCTGAGTTTTCAGGTGACCGGTACAAATTAAAACAGTAAATAGTTCAATATCCTTAGAAAGTTGGGTCCTCAAACTTCCCAGTGTCGGTGAGAGCTGTGGGCGATTCATGTCTTAAAACATTCATACGCGTTAAATTCAACTGTCATGTTTTACTTTTTTGTCTTTTCTAGTTTGCATCATTCCAGCTGCCGCATGAAGCAGAAGGCGTTTCAGAGTTCAGAAACGACAAACACAAGACACACGGTGACCACAGCGACACAAACGGTCCCACAGCCATAAAAACAGACAGAGGAGGACACATGATGACAAAAATGAAGCAGCAAACAAGGAAAAGGTGACACACAGTGACCACAAAGAGGAAAACAGTCAGAAAACACACAGACGGACTTATTTATGACTCATTAAAGCAAATGAACTCAGAAAGTCGAACAGTCCTTTCTGTTCTGTGGCGATAATTCAGGTTTTGTTAGCCTGTATTATCGCTACAAGTGGAGCGAGAGGATGTCGGGGAGAGGAGTGGGGACGGACCTGCAGCAAACGGTCCCGACCCACCACTCTGCGGCGGGTTCATGGGTCGCCCGCCCAACCTGCTGGGCTGTCCGGCCGCCCTCTGTGGCCTTTACAGATGCTCATGTGCTTAATGTTGTGTAGCAGCAAAGAAATGAGCTGATGAAGCTGGTTCTGGTTCTGGTTCTTACCGGCAGCTCGGAGCTGTGCGGCGTCGCCTCTTTGGAGGATCTGATGGTGTTGGAGTCCAGAGCCAAGCCGTAGACCAGAGACACACACAGGACGCCGCGCCACATCCACATCGTCCGATCGGTTGATCAGTCAGTCGCCCCGGTGGACCTGCACACCCAGCTCCTCACCGCCGCCTCCTTCGCTGCGCTTTGTTTAAACTGGTTAACGCGATTCGTTTGATCTCCAGGCGAATAACTGATCTGGTTCTGAGAAGAACTGGATGAAATCCTTTAATAATCTCCTGACAAGGAAGAAGGCTTGTCTAGAGTCTAGGAATCAGTCAGAGCGGAGTCGGTCCGGTATGAAGCCAGACCTCAGGTGTAGTCCTGCTGCTGCTGCTGCTGCTGCTTCAGGTGGGTTTTATACCCTCTCTCCCTTCTGATCCAGCCTCTCTCAGCCGCCCCATCCTCAGAAGTTTTCAGGATGCGTTTGAAGCCCGACCGCATCAGTCGGCGGAGACAGCGCCGCCTTCGCTTCCTTCCTGGAAGCCCTGCGGCCTCAGGTGAGGCGGGACGTTTGATACGTGACACCGCAGAGACCACAGAGAGATTAAAACACACCTGGAGACACGAGACAGGTAGAGCCGTCTGAGGAGCTGCACAGTGTGTGAAGGTGTGTGGTTTCGCTTCATGTGGTCTGAAGGCCGCGGTAAAGACTCATTAGAGCTGAAGCTGCGTCTCTCAGGCGGCGGATGTGCCAGTGTTTACAGGTGATTAAAGCTGATTACCACACAGAGAAGTGAATCCGTTCCAGAGGCGGATGACGACACCAGAGCAGGTTTACCGGTTGAATAACGGCTCTGAAATCCAACACAAGCGTTCTTCCAATAAACCGGAATTCCATTTCTGCCAGGAACCAAAAACTAAGCACGGGGTAGTCACTCTGATGGTAGCAGTGCCTCCACGTCGTGAGTCCAGTAGAAGAGTTAGGGGCAGACAGTGGGGCAGTGGAAACAGAGGTCTAGGTGGGATTTTGTCTCCAGTTATCTTGTTGGAGCTTCTTTGGTGTCCAGAACCAGCCGGACCGCCTGCATCAGTGTGGGTCAGAGCACACTCACATTCTGTTCACAGTTCATTAATTTGCTCTTCAGGGTCCAAAACGACATATTTTGGCTGCATTTAGAGAATTTCATGTTTTCAGATGTGAGAATTTTTCTGTTTTCACCCTCAAAAAACCATCTGACCTGTGACGGCCATGAAAGGTGGTGTGTGTGTGTGTGTGTGTGTGTGTGTGTGTGTGTGTGTGTGTGTGTGTGTGTGTTTTTCATGTTTGTCCTTGGACAGGTACGGATTTTAGACTCATCCACAATCAAAACACTGAATGAATGCTGGAGACGAGACCCATCTACTGGATCTACAGAAACCTTTTATCTACTGACCAGAGTTCTACCTTCAGACTGTGGATGCTCCAGAGCTCCAGGTCCTGGAAGTCCACAGAGGAGGGTCCGAGCCTCAGAACTTCATCAGTACAGCAGATAGACACATCCCATAATACTGATGCTGCCAGCTGCTGACAGAGGACATGAACAGAACCAGGTCCAGTGTTCAGACGGAGACACCTGGATGGATGTAGAACTGAGCTGGTGTCAGGTTCTACCAGAACCCAGATGTGTTCTTCCTCCTAAATGTCATGTGTCTATCTGCTGTACTGATGAAGTTCTGAGGCTCAGAAATGATGGAAAAAGTCCATTAAGGTGATCAATCTGGACCCTCCTCTGTGGACTTCAAGGACCTGGACCTCTGGAACATTCACAGTCTGAAGGTAGATGAACTAAAGCTGCTGTAGATTAAAAAACAAACCACTGGGGGGACGTTTTTTTCAGATTTGGTTGATTCTACTAAGGAATGACCTCTTTCTTCTAACAGCAGGATGAAACCTCTTGTCCCTCATGCTGTGGGCTTGTTGTATCACTCAGACCCTCAGGTGCCTCCATGACTTCATCTCCAGGCCTGAACTGCAACCAGCAGCAGCTCCAGCAGCAGCAGCAGCAGCCTGGACTGGAGCAAAGACGTGTGTGAGAAGTGACGGATGAGTTGGAAAGCGATGAGCTGGAGTCAGCAGGTAGCAGAGTCGCTGGTGTCTGTATCAAACATGGCCTTTAACGTGTGCCTTTTTATTATTTGCGTGTGCAGCTACACGTATGACGAACACACATGAGCCAGCTGAGAGCAAACAGCGGCTGTGTGTGTGCAGATGTGTGTGCGTGATAAGGTCTGCAGCCTGCAGGGCTTCAATGAAAGGACAGCAGATGCTCACAATTACTGACACACACACACACACACGAGTGGACGTCTACCTTTATGAGGTCTCAGTGACGTGATGCGTTTGGCCTCTTCTTTAAACCTGAACCCTAAAACTGAGCCTCATGTTCCTCACGTGTCCTCACAAGCTGCAGGTCCCCACTAGGACAGGTGAACCAACGCAGGTCACAGCCGTCGCCGCTGGCCGGTGTGTAAATGTGTGTGTGTGTCTCCATATTGTCTGCTTGTGTCACTATCAGAATAAAAGAGGAAACGTCCTCGTCTCCTCTCCTTCCGTCCTTCCTCTCCTCCGTCCTCTCGCCTCTCCTCCCCTCAGGCCGGATATTTAGACGGTCAGTCAGCAGCTGGAAGTAGAAGACGGAGCATCAGTGGACCAGGTAGGACCCACCTGTCTGAGCTTTAGTGCAGAACTCATGTGCTGAGTCCGTGGTTAACTTTGGCTCATGTCAGAGTTTCACATTTTGAATACTTCTAGTTTTAATATATGTGCATCTTGTTGGTTTTATTTATAGTTCCAGTCTCATATATATATATATTAATTTCAGTTTTTAATTCTATGAGTGTTTGTCTGCTTCTGAAGAGCTTGGATTTCCTTTTTATTATTTTAATTTGATTGATATTTACTGTATGTAACCTACACATGATGTTCCTGTCGTTGTGTGTCCAGAGGGTTTAGCCCCAGCTGAGCTTTAACTGTCTTTAGATTTAATCGTCTCCCTGGTCCTCATCGTCGTACTCATCTGCTGCATGTTTATCTAGAATTATCCTGCTGTTTTATTCTACACTTGTCCTCTTCAGCTGAATGTGTTGTCTTTGACTATGTATTAAAACAGTTCAAGAGTTTGCTTTCAGTTTATTTTGCTTTTGTTTAATGTCATACTTTATTCGTTTTACTCTATTTGATGTCAGAGTGGCAGTACTGGAAGTGTATTGATCCTGTGGTGCTTTGGTTGACGTATTGATTGATTATCAGCTGCTGCTCCGACCGGTTTTATTCATTGTGATTTCTGTCTTAATCCAGAAATAGTGGTGAACCGCTCCGCTACAGTTACCTTTCAGGAATCTCATTAGAAATAAGACGTTTTGAAAACTTCCTCCAATCTCCAGACTTCTTCGCATCCAGCAGGTTTCTTTCTGTGGCGTCAAACAAAAGGTTCAGACGCAAAAGTACATTTCAGATCAGTTTTCCATCAAACAGCAGAGAGAGAGAGGTGAGGGTGAAGCAAACGAGATGGACGGAGATAAGAGAATAAAGGGAGGTGTGTGCATGTGAGATAACTCTGTTAGCCAGGCAGGAAAAAGCCTCTAAAACAATCAGCGGGCAAACAGAGAACAGTCTGACGTTCACAATAACAAGGAAAAATCTAAGAACACTGACGAGGCGCTGAAAGTTTTCATTCAGTCGTATTTTTCTGCAGAGGCTCTCCGGGACGAGAATTTTTTATCTTACCGTCTGCACACAAGATCAATACGTGAATTAAAAAAAGGGAAAAGGTTGAGCCATTTTTTAAAATCTCGTTTGATTGATAAATGATTAAATGCCGTGTTAGCGCCACCATCTGGTCAACGATAACTTACTGGTTGTAATTCCTGCTCTGTAACTCAGTGAGGACAAATCCTGCCACAACGAAAATCTTCTGTCTGTGAAAATGATGTTCAGGTAGACTACAGTCTCGAAACTGTGCGTTCAGGCCACGGCTAGTTAGCCTAGCTTAGCATAACAACTGGAAGTACGTGGTGTATCCCATTTAGACTTAATGTTCTTGACTCAGGACTTAAGTTGGTACTTGCTGACTTGCTAGCCTTTGATTGGGGGACTTCTGGTCTTTACTTCATACTGGACTTGGTGGACTTGTAGATCCGTACTTGATATTTGGACCTGGGGAACTGTTGATCTTTGCTTGATACTTAACTTGGAGACTTATTGGTCTTTACTTGGGGGACTTTTAGATCTTTCCCTGATACTTAACATGGGACACTTTTCGGTCTTGACTAGGGAGACTAGGGAGTCATTATTTGATATCTGATTTCTTGTTGGACCTGACCTGGGACACGATAGTCTTTACCTTTAACTTGACTTGGGACATGATGGTTGTAATTTGGGACTTGTTAGTTTTTTCCTGTAAGATTTGTTGGTCTTTACCTGATACTTGACTTGGGAGACTTGTTTTGTATTATTTTGAGGACTTGCTAGTCACTACTTGGTACTTG